GCAGCAACAATGGGCTCAAGTTTGCAGAAATTGTGAAGGTGGCCCAGAACCTTTTGGTCTTTTCTTCTATTAAATATATGGTCTTTATGAATCGGAACTAACTTGATGGAACCTAACAGTAAAAATGCTTGAAGTCTAGTATATTAGTTCTTTTTGCTGTTATAAGAAAATACCACTAACTGGGTGGAATAAGACAACAGAAATGTATTATTTACAATTTTAGAAGCCAAATTACTTTTACTGTGGCCAAGCTAGGTGTGTGTACAATAGTACCCCCTCTGGAGAATCAATGGGCAAATCTGGGAAGTATTTTTTAAGATATACAAATGGCCAATAGGCACTTTAAATGATGCTCAACATAGATTGTAGTCAAGAAAATTCAACTCAAAACCATTATGAGATATTACTCTATACTCATTGAAATTACAATTATAATAATAGTGATTTCTCAGTTTGGACTCATGGGTACCCCTTGTGTTACAGGGCAGAAACATGGGGTTTTTTGGGATGTCATTTTTATGGAAGAGATATCCAGTCCTATCTGTTGAATTGTCATTGGGTTGAATCAAACTTTGAATTTTTTGCTTTAGTAGTCATGCACAAAGTGTTTACATCAACTGAGGACTTTATAATAATAACAACAACAATAATGATAATAATAATAACTGAAAATAATGGATGTTTGTAAGGTTTCAAAAAATATAGAAACATCATCCAGTGCTCTGGAAATGTAAAAGAGTATAACAACTTTGGAAATAATTTGAGAAGGTCTCAAAAAGATAAGCACAGAGATTATTTGACATAGCACTTCCACTCAATGCTATATACCCAATAGACATGAAAACAGATATGCAGCCCCCAAATTTGTACCCAGATATTTATAACACTATTTTTCAGATTATGTAACAAATCAAAACCCTTAAATGCCTATAAAGAGAAGAATGGATAAACAAATGTGGTAATATTATCTATTGGTATATTATTCAATTAAAACATAAAGTAATGATGTACACTTTAATGTAAATGGGCTTTGATATATTATGCTAAGCAAAAGAACCAGACAAAAAGTTCATATTTAAAAATTTTGTATTTATAGGGTTATCAGATTAGACTAATCTGTAGAGATAAAAACCACATAATTGGCTATAAGGATTAGGGGAGAAAGGATAGGGGAGTGACTGATTAAGTGGGGAGGGCGGGTGTCTTCGAACGTTGTGAAGCCAGATACAGGTAAAAGTTGTACAACATTGTGAATGTACCTAAGGCCTTTGAGTTGAAATCTTTAGAAAGTTTACAATTGTAATTTTTATTATATATTTTTTTCACAGTAAACAACAATATACCTAAGACAGAAAAAGCTATGATAGTTGTTAAAATATAGTCAATAAAATATAATTACTAAAGACAATATAAAAAGAAATATTTGCTAGCAAAAGGATCACATGACTTATAAATATTGGGGAGAAATGTAACATGATCCTAGTAGAATATTACTTCATTCTTAGTATGTGGCAGACATTGTTCTAAGTGCTTGTAGTGGCTAGGGTTGACTTCTAGATGGACTGACACTGCAGATGGTCAGCTTAAGGCTCATTTGGTAATATTTTTCTGCATATGTCGCTATACTGTGTTTGTTAAGAAGTCGAGTCAGTTCCGACTCATAGTAAAACTATAGGGTTTCTGATGCCTTGAATCTTTACAGGCTTTATATTAAGAGGAGATATTATGATTCAGTTTTATTACTGATGAGAGATTATGTTAATTTTTTTGTATCATGAAAATTACCACAAGCTTGTGTGTTCAAAAATACAAATTTATTATTGAAGCATTTATAAATCTGTAAGGCAGAAACCAAGGTGTCAGCAGGAGTGTACTATTTTACAACACTGTGTGAGAATGTATTCAATGGCTTTTTCTATATCAGGAATATCTTTGTGGTTTCTTGTATTTCTTGACTGGTTGCCAAATATTCTATTATTCTCTCTGGCATTCTATATTCATTTGTCTCTTCTGTACTGTACTATGTTCTGAGAAAATATTTGGTTGCAATTAAGTCTGTCATGATACTGTTTTCTCTGCTCTACAAAGATTGTTTGTTCAATCAAAGTAAAGTTCATCCTTTATCACATCAGTAATAGTCGTAGGCTCCTAATGTTGCTGTTTATTGTATAGAATTTCCAAGGAGCCACTGGAGGGTGTGAGCCACCGACCTTGTGTTAATAGTCCACTGCTTATTGTGCAGTATCAACCAAGGATTCCAAATATTAGGATGTGGAAACTCCACTTGAGGACAACCACTTAAACCACTACAGAAGACAAATCTACTAATGACTCCATCAAAAGATACATTAACTTAGGTTCAGGAAAGTGTGAAAATTATTTCTCCTTGGGTAATGTGCGAGGTATTATATATGTATCTGTCATAGAAATCTAGAAACAATGAGGGAAATTAATCCAAGGAAAAAGCCAGTTTCAATAAAACTAACGATGTTCTACTGCCCTGTGCCTGAATACTCCCTATGTCTAAAGCTCTTCTATTGAAAGTTCTTCTAATATCTCCTCATATGTTTGAGCATGTTAGTGTCTGAGGGTTGTTTTTTGTTGTTGTTGTTATTGTTGTAATTAGCCCGAATGGCTTTGGTATTGATGATGT